GTGTGTGTGTGTGTGTGTGTGTGTGTGTGTGTGTGTGTCTACTTCCTGTTGGTTCACTGGGGGAGGACAATAAGACAATGAAAGCGCTTGTCGCTGCTAATAAAGAATACAATACCTCCTTTACTGAGCACGAACTGCTTGAGTGATTCAAACCCTGCTCTGGGACTGCGTGTTTTTCTTTCATTGAAAAGCTTTTTTTGTTGTCGTTTTTGATGTGCAAATGTGTAGTTGCTCCACTGTATGGGGGTCGGGTTTGTCCAGTGTGGTTCTAATGTTGATACAAATATGTGCCTCCACTGTGCAAATGACAGATGTGGCTGAAATGACTGCACGGTCTGTCATGACCAGGAAGGGGCAGCTTCTCTGACTGCAGAAGAAAACCTGATTGTAATGAAGTCGACAAGAAACTGATGCTTTGGCTTCTCCAGGTTTGTCCACTTATTACAGTAACAGTGTTACTGAAGGCAAGATTATATTTATTTTGTAAATTATAAAGGATAAAAACACAGGGTGTGATTCAGAGCTTGTGTCAGGCAGTCGTGCTGTGACAGACGAGTTGCTACCATATGAGAGTGAAGTGTTCCTCAGCTTCTAAGACAGGCCAAAAATTCGGCTTGGTTTTTAAAACTGATCTAGATGGCAGTGGACAAAAAGCTCAGCTTGATGGAGCAGTGTCATCTTTCACATGCAGTAAATGGCCTTTGCTTAACAGTTGAAGCTCAGTTATTTATTATTGTCCATAATTCTCTACGATGGACATTTTTGTCAGGTGATGTTTTGAGTTGGTGCTAAATTTCAGGAAGTTTCTGCTGGTTCAAGTGTGCCGACAACACTGACTCAGTGAGAGTAGCTCAGGTACATCCAGGAGGTCAGTGAGTGCCTCAAGGGCAGTGACAGCAGCAAAGCAAGGCTGCGACAGCACGTAAGCAGCATCCATCCATTTACAGGTGTGTGTGTGTGTGTGCGTGTGTGTGTGTGTGCATTCACATTCACATCTTTGGGCAGTTTAGGATCACCAATTATCTGAATCCTACCAACTACGTGTCTCTGAGATGAGGGATGGAGAGAGAACTCACACAGGTACGAGGCAAACACTTTCAGGTGTGAGGCAGTAGTGTTAGCCACCACGTTACTGTGTTGCCATGGTGATGATTAAGAAACCATCGACAGAAAAAAACTAGTCCAACTCTTCTCCACAGAAATGGGTTCTGGTTTATCTCCATTTATCTCCATGTGCTAGTTCACTATGAGCATTGGTATATCAAATCATGTGAAGGGGACGAATACGATGCTGTGGAAATTAATGAAACAACCGTTACAAATGTTCCAGCCACTAAGCAGCAAGATAAATGAACACAAGGCTTCAGGCAGCTGGAGCTGATGTGCTGTTTAAGCAGATTGAACACAACAGGGTTATTTATTAAATCCCACTCGGAATCATGGAGTAAGACAAGGCAGCAAGGGAAATTCCATATCCTAACTTCCCTGTCACGTATTGATTATACACTGCTGTTTGCCAAGTGATCCATGGAAACCTTTCTATGATAGACTGTCACAAAAACCGCAGCTAGGACTGAAACTCTGAGATGTGTGACTGAAACTTTGCAAACCTGTATTTGAGGTAAACGTGTCCCTTCTTTCTTTCTGTCTACAGATAAGATGCTGCTCCCAGCCGGCCTGTTGATTGTCCTGCTGTGCCTGAGTCACATGGGCAGTGCGTGGGGTTTCGCCCGTCTGCTTGATGATGTAGAGCTGCGCTCAGCTTTCTCGGTCGCTCGCACCAGCAGCATGGAAGGTGGACCAAAGATGACGGTAACCTTTGACGCTGTTTACGTCAACATCGGTGGGGACTTTGATGCCAAGTCTGGTCTGTTCCGCTGTCGTATCCCTGGAGCCTACTACTTTTCCTTCACCGTGGGAAAGTTTCCACATAAGGACCTGTCTGTGATGCTGATGAAAAACAGGAATGAGGTGCAGGCCATTGTGTATGAAGAAAATGCAGGGGAGGAGAGGAAGGTACGCTTCAGAGCTTCAATCTTATTTGTTTTTATGTACAGAAAGCTGCTAGCGGCCAAATCTTATAATCCAGTAGTGCTTTACATGTTCAGCAGGTATTACTGGTTAGGATTACTACACTTGGAGGATGAGACTGACCTAAACTTTTATCCCCTTGTCAAAGTGGGTAATAAACACCCCGGTATCTCTCTCTTGTCAGTGACTGAGCGGAAATGCACCAAGCCCTAATACACCTCTGCTTATTATAATAAAGTGACTGTTTTTTAACTTTGGAGCCTGCTTCAGGTTTTTATGGAAGTGAGCTCCAGCTCCACAGTTAGTACTTTGACTGGCCACAACATTAAATAATCTACCTTACATTGTGCTTATACACACAGCTGGCCCAGCAGGACATGGTTAAAGAAGCTCCGAGTGCAGATCTGTCAGGCACTGGGACTTTGGGACTTTGCTTTGTGAAGTGAAATTCCTGACACTGAGAACTGTACTGAAGGTGTCCTGGGCTAAGATCCCCCAGCATGAATCTGTTGTGTTTTTTAGTGCTCAGTCAGAATCAAGAAGACTGGGTCAGGGTCTCTGGCTCTGTTTAATGTGCCTCAGCTGTCCTGAGGGCACGCTCTCCTACTGGGTGAAGCCATGCACACCTTCTGGTATATTCCAGTGGCATGCACATGAATGTCAGACCCAGAGGTTTCCCAGCAGATCATTGCATTTCATGCACATTTAAAAAATGCAAAAGCTTCTAATCTAATCAAGCTACCAGATTTCCCAAAATATGGAACTTCAATAACCTTTAAACAGGCCCCGGCACTTTATAGAGACATCTTATAATTGATTGAATCAATCTCTCTCGATGTGTGTTTTTTCTCCCCATATTTACAGCGCTCTTTTATGATGTCAGAGGTTGTGGTAGCACTCACAGAGGGTGTGTTTGTGTGGGGATGGGAATGAGATCAGATCAGAGCGGATTATTCCGTCCAATGAAAGGCTGTGTGACAGGATCATGTGTTTGTTGTTGATGTGAAACAGGCCTCGGTATGACTACACCGGCATAACAGTCTGCGTCATTCCTCAGGTGCAGAGCCAGAGTGTCATGTTGCAGCTGGAGTTCGGGGACACTGTCTGGCTCCGTCTCCATGGCGACCCTCGCTACGCGCTGTACAGCAACACCGGACACTATACCACCTTCAATGGTTACCTTGTGTACCCCGATGTCTACGGCTACCAAACGCACCACCATCACCACCAGCAGCACGCCGACTCCGAGCAGCCACTGCAAGACAACATCCCACTGCCGAGCGACAACCAGGCCACGGATCATGTCAGACCCGGAATGACGGATGGGGAGAAGGAGCCGCAAATGAAAGAGGAAGAAGAGGAGGAGGAGGACGAAGAGGATGACCAGAGATCTGCTTTCTCGGTGGGGCGCACCCAAAGCATTGTGGGCGTGAACCAACTGGGCATGCCGCAACACCAGCCGGTGAGCTTCGACACTGCATTTGTTAACATAGGGGAAGACTTCAACGTGACAGAGGGAGTGTTCACCTGCCGCATTCCCGGGGCGTACTATTTCTCCTTCAACGTGGGCAAGATGCCACAGAAGACACTGTCCGTCAAACTGATGAAGAACCGCCTGGAAGTGCAAGCGATGATCTATGACGATAGCCAAGGTGAGAAAGCTCTGCAAAGCCAGAGTTTGATGCTGTCACTTAAACCAGGGGACACAGTCTGGCTCTACTCCCACCAGAGAGATGGATTCGGTGCCTACAGCAACCACGCCAAGTACATCACTTTTACCGGCTTCCTGGTATACCCAGATTTTCCTGCTGCCACCACCACCAATACTGCCACCAGCCAATCATATGCAGACAAGAAACCCTAGCTGCAGCACCTTGACTAGGCACCGAACATTTCTGGAGGAATTCATACAAGATGGAAAAGTCTCAGATTTCACAGAAAGTACTGGGGAGCTGTACTCCAAATGAATGCTGCTTTGTGGCTGTCTTTCTGCTTCATATGAATTCCTTCACAAAGTCACAGCGACCCGGACTGAGTGCAGCGCTTACAACAAAATCAATGTTCAGCCAGTGGCTTCCCAGGATATGATGTTGGCAGATGTGAATATTTAACTCTTTAATGAAAGTTCAGTGGTTATCACCCACTCACTCCTGTGTTAGCTCATCAGTTAGCGTCCATGTCTTTTATACAGCTCAAAAACAGAGTGGGATTCAGAAATGCTCTGTGATATACTGTTAATGATTATTATATGATTGGATGGATATTGGGACAATATGGTGGAATGCTAGCAAGCTAACTTCTAAGTTAGGCAACAAAGATAGGTTAGCGAGCTGCATGTGCGGTCACAGATATCTGATAATTAATGCCAGCTGTCACTCACAAACACTGAATCCAAGGCGGTGCAATAAACACAGCAAGTTATTTTTTAGACAGCAGCAATGAAAATGCCCCAAAAGACAGTTTCACTTCTCGCTATAAAGACAAAGATAAAAAACTGAACCTAACTCTACACCTGCGTATTTCTGCTGCACTGAAACTGAGTTGTTTCCGTTGTCAGGCCCAAGTGGCTCATAGATTTGGCTTTGTTAGCTTCTTTTTTAGACGAGGCTGCTGCTCGTTGCCGCTTGATGACATTAAGTTGTTGACAAATAAACACATATGTTACTTGCCAACTACATTGCTAGATTAAGTGATTAAATGAGGCGACTGTAGTTAAAGTGTTATATGATTATTTAATGTTGGCAGTTGGCCGGTGCGTACCACAGTACATCGTCCTTGTAAAGTCTTTATATTTGATTGCATTTTGAACATAAGATCTTGCTCTGAAGAGAAACTTGTAAGCATGTTTTGATAAATGTGCAGTAAACGTCCTGTGTAATGTACTGCAGAATTATAAGGGAAGGGTTAAACTGCAAAACGATGTACTTAATTCCATTACATTGAGCAAAATGAAAATTCAAACTGCATGCACACTTCAGTCTGAGCTGTAGACATAAAGCTGTGGTAGATAATCACTGAATTTTTCATTTTTTTGAGCAAAATATTCCTCCAAGTGCATTTGTTACCCTCGTCCAAGGTGTTTCTGCTTGTAAAGTGTCTTTACTTTCTTTGTCTATAGAGGCATGTAAATTGATATGAAATTTGTGTGTTTTGTGTCAAAATTAGTCTTTTTTTTTTTTTTAAGTTTGGTGTTTCTCGCCCAAATATCAGCCGCAGGAGGAGCAGAGCACGACGGGAACAAACTGACGTAGCTGTAGAAATGTGCAGACTCCATATCCATCCGACTGTTGACCACATGCCACCTCTGAGCCTGCAGGGATCTGGACCTTAATTTGATTTCTAATTCTAGCGGCACTTAATTCATGTCTTCAGAACCACTGTGGGGAAAATGTAATTGCTTCTCCCGGCAGCTATAATATGCATGTCTGTTTAATTTCACGCCGCAGGGGAAACGATGATGCTGTTCAAGTTGTGATGAACCTTGACTTTATGAAATCACCTTCTCTGTTGGAAAGGCAACATGTGAAATCATACTTCACTTTTACTGAACATTTACATTTTTATTACAGTTAACTGGCTATAAATTCACAGGAATGAGGTTCTCATATAACCAACGATCAAAACCAGGGGTGTCCACCTCCAGGCCTCGAGGGCCGGTGTCCTGCAGGATTTAGATCTCACCCTGGGTCAGTACACCTGAATCACATGATTAGTTCATTCCCAGGCCTCTGGAGAACTTCAGGACATGTTGAGGAGGTCATTTAGCCATTTGAATCAGCTGTGTTGGATCAAGGACACATCGAAAACATCCAAGACACCTGCCCTCGAGGCCTGGAGGTGGACACCCCTGATCTAAACACACCAGTGTATAAAAAAATGTAAACCTGCTTCCTGAAGACTAAAATAACAAATCAACATTAGTTTCATTAATCAGTATTTTGGTGGTACTGACAGCATAAATGGCTGTGCAATTATAAAAGGTTGCCCAGTGTCGAACCCACACTGAATTATTATCCCATTTTGCTTAACAGCTCACTCTCACAGCAAACAACAGAGTCTGTGCTCGTGTGCATTTAACCCAACACAGTTTCCTCAATAGAGGAAATAGAGACTGACTGGCATTCATCAGGTGGAGAGAAGTGGTGCTCCACCTGAGCAGTGGTGGTGTTCATGTACATCTGCTGCAGGTGCAGCTGCTTTTGTGTCCAACCAGACACTACAGTCCAATCACTTCCAAAATCCCTCTTTTATTATTTGGATAAGCAGAATCTTTCAAATCAAGGCAAATATTCTCCCTAAATTCAAGCAAACTTTCTTTTTTAATTGTTAGAGGAGTCAACAAATTAAACGTGAAGAAAAAAGATAGAAAGGTTTTGTCCCCTAGCAACAAAATCTGTTATTAGTATCAAAAGTTAAAAAGGCCATTAACAAAACATTTCACATTAAATACCAGAGGCCTTGACTTTGCTTTCTTTTAGCTTTTATCAGATGGCTCAAGATATAATTTTCCTCTTGTAAAGCTGTGGGTGGAGAAGTTCACTTAAATAAGACATAAGCTATGATGTCCACATCATAACCAGCGAATCAGAGATCTCGGACAACTGCCGATCCTGAGCCACACAGAAAAATCTCTATTAATTAATTAGCCCAGGAAACTTGTGTATAAACACTTCCTCTTGCTCCAGTGAAGTGCATTCAGACTGAAGCACCACAGCAGGGGTAATCAACGCGTGGGTAGCCACGCTTCAGTTGGCAGGCTGAATGGCAGTGAATGTTGCAGCCAATACACGTAACTCCTAAAATAATCCAAACAGCCACGCTATTAATAAACTAGATGCCCGTTAACCACGCTGTGGTCCTGCCAGTTTTACCGGCCCTTGGAGCACCGCAATGGTGAAAAATTCATTGGAAGGAAACACAAACAGTGGGCTGGTGCAAAGTCATTTGGACTGATTAGGAAAAAATACAAGCTGCATTCTAAGAAGCATGCAACCCTTCATGTATCCCTGAATTCTGACTATCCCTCATCTGGCAGTAATGTGATTAATTGCTAATATTAAGAGCAGAAATTTCTAATCACACACACCGTGGCAAAGGAGGAGACAGAAATGAGAGTGTGCAGCAGCAGGAAGTTACATCAAATGGACCAAGGTCTTTAAAACTGGGCTTTAAAATTATGAAAACCTGAAGAGATAAAACTGAAAATGTTCCTAAACGACAGCGTTAGAGTAGTGGAAAGTAAAAAGAAAAGTCTTTGCTTCATTGTCACATCTTTTGGGCACAGGAGAAATGATTTTGCACCAGCTGATCTCCGGCTTCAGGTGGCTCCACACTCACAGTCTCACTAATCCACAATTTCCTGTCCTTTACGGGCTGCACTCACTTCTGAGAAATTCAGAAAAATATGCCTTTTTTTTAACAGTATGAAATTACACTGTGAGCGTGGCTCATTGCAGATATATTCTGTCACAGTCTAACACTCAGTGAGGAGGAGTGCACACAGGTGGAACGCCTCAGTTCAGCTTTCAGAACCGTGACCAGTCTGCAAAGGTGTCCAGAAATCCTGCACCAAACTCGTGTGATGCATGCATTTAAGTGAAATACATGAAAAAGATACTTTGTCACGATTGCAGAGCAGCTTCACAGACCCACTCGATGCCTGCTGTGTACTTTTCTTGATTAGTGACTTATCTGTACAGTAACTGACGATATGTTGGATGTTTCGGGTCTGTGCTTCTCCGTTTCTGATAATCCCCAATGGAAGACTGTGTATTAGTAAATATGTGGCACAGACATGGGTCGAAATGTGCTCGCTTTCTGGAACAGCATCATTTTACTTGGCATGATTGAAACTGAAACTGTGACCCTGCTTATGAGGAAAGAGGGCTCAGTTTGACCCACAGCCTGTCTGCAGTAGTCTGCCTCACGTTGACTCTTTAAAGTGTTTCGAGTATTTCTTATTTGTAAAATGAATGCTTCAATGAAGATGTTTGACAAAATAAAAAATAAACAAAGGTTTGAGTGTCATTCTGACTGCGATGAAAGACATTCCAGCTTTATATTCAGTGCTGCAGCGCCACCTGCTGGCTAAATTTAGTGTTTGAAATTTGAAAAGACTTCAGTGGTCACAAACAAAAAGTTTGTTTCATGTTTGGCTTTCACGTTAGTCATAGTTTAAAACGTCTGGTTTCATTTTTTCGGTTGTGTGTTTGTGTGTGTGTTGGCCGGGGGGATGAAGTTCATAACAGACACTGCAATGTAAAAACTATCATCACAGTCACATGAACATCCTAGCCTCGGTAAACATTTGAAGACAACTTTGACCAACCACACAGACTTCTTCACTCACTCACAGTTTGTTAGTTTTCTCTTTTATCAACTTGCTAAAGCTGCTGCCTCGGTAGGAACAGTTTATTTGGGGCCCATAATAAAGAAATACACAGCGTCCCCCAGTTTAGTTACCTCGGGTTGGTCCCTTATTTCCCCTTATTCAGCACAGATTTGATGCTGGATGCCCTCGTGTCAGGAACACATCGGGAACAAAAGGATGCTGCGTCATTTGTTAGAAATGAACATTTTCTACCTACCCAGGGCTGAATTTAAGAAAACTCTGAAAATCAAAGGGAAGGAAATGCAGCACGTTAGCTCATTTTGCCAAAAGAACAATTCTGAAACTCAAATAGTGTCAGTAGTTTGTATGGCCCCCATGTGGTTGCATGCATGCCTGACAATGTTGGGACATGCTCCTAATGAGACAACCGATGGAGTGATTCCTCCCAGACCAAAACCAGTGAAAAAACACAGAAGTTGAGGTCAGCAACTGAGGTGCCAAAATTTTTGTTTTTTTTCCTTTTTGTTTGAATTCCCCCAGGTCGATATTCTGCTGCTCATGATTCCAAAATGAATGTAAATTCTTTAAGGACTTATTTTGAAAAATTAAACAAAATAAGGCTTTGTGCATTATTGGGTTTACTTTTAAAAACATTTTCCCACTTTATGGTGAAAGTGACAGGTCTGTACCCCTCTGTCAAACCCTTTCAGGTACTTTTTTCATCAACTGGAAGAAAAAAAAGCCACAATATTCCAGATGTTTTACTAGTATCTTTATTTACATAAATATCAGGATTGCTGGGGGGTTGGACTCCCAGAATAACACAAAAACAAAACATGGTGATGAAGATGTGGAGGCTAAACAAGAGGACGTCACTTCTTCTCAGGGGCCTTTTCACCAGCCTCCAGCTTGGGTGCATCCTCTTTGGGATCTCGGTAGGCGGGGAACACCTCCCAGGGCGTGTTTAAATCAAACTTCCTAAACTCCTGCGCCAGCTCCACAGGCTCCGCCACCACACGTTTCAACTCATCGTCATAACGAACCTGCAGAGGGAGGCATGCTTCGGGTCAGATTCCTTCCCGTCTCTCACATTGCTGGAGTTGAATAAAGTGGACTCAAAGTAAACTCACCTCCACATATCCCGACAGAGGGAAGTCCTTCCTGAAGGGGTGACCCTCGAAGCCATAGTCTGTCAGGATCCGCCTCAGGTCGGGATGGTTGGCAAAGAAAACTCCAAACATGTCCCACACCTGTGGTAATACAGCTTTGCTCTCAGTTTGTCTGTAATGTTAGTATAAACCACTGCTGAGTTTCACAAGTGCAGCGGGCAACTCACCTCCCTCTCGTACCAGTTAGCGGCCATGTGGACGGGGACAGCGGAGTCAACCGGTGTTAACTCATCGGTGTAGGTCTTGACGCGGATACGGGAGTTGTAACGCAGTGAGAGCAGGTTGTACACAATCTGTAGACCAGCACACACAGTGAGTCAGAGTACTATAGTACACAATCAATGCATAAATTAGACTACCTAATGTCCCACCACAGCCCTTCTCTTGGACTGAGTCTGGACATGATTCTTTTCAGCTCTTCTGTTACAGATCGGTTGGTTTGCTGTGATCCTGTTACATGACCTAATGTCACCAGGCTTTAGCTCTCAGAGAGATGGCCTCATATTTGACTTATATTTGAACCCCCCTCAGTATGCAGAGTGATGCCCCTAAATGACTCAAGGTCCAAACAGGCCTTGGCCTTCCTGGTGCCGCCCCTGTGACCCAGCTCCAGATAAGTGGAAGAAAATGGTTCGCTGGATGAAGGTTAGAGCCTGAGCATTTAATATTAAACTGAAAATTTTTATTATATTATATTATATTATACATATTTATTATATATTATGTGTGGTTTTTGGTGCTTTGGAAAACTGTACAAAATGACCAAAACACAATAATAAATACAATTATTATTGAACGTGGTGGCAGAAGTATTTTTAAAGGTTTATGGTAAAATGTCCTAATGCAGACAGGCTCTATGATGCACAGTCAGAGGGACTACTCCATTTGTTAAAGAAGTACAAAGTAATTCAGGAACAAATGTTGATAAATCACAGACGCTGCTGTGAAACGTCTTGAAGCACAGATTGGTGCAGACGCTCGGTTGATAAATGAGCCGCAACATTGCAGAAATCTCCAGGCTGTCATCAGGTTTATCATTGAACATGCTAACTGAGCCCTGCACACTTTGAGATGCAGTGTTTGGGTTTATTCCAGATTCCCGGAGCGTTGCCTGTTCTGACCTTGAGGTACATTTGTCTGTCTTGAAT